CCATGCTGATTAAATCGAAATAGGTAACTAAAGGTTACACCTAGATACTTTAATGATGTTTTGAATGGAATTTGGATACCATCAAGCGGAAGAGAGAGGTTTTTACTTTGCGGCACCACCAGTCTATGACATTTGCCACTTGCATTGCGAATGCAAATAGCTTCAGATTTTGTGGGGTTTATTTTAATGCCCCATTTTTTGTAAAAGTTGTTAATGATGTTGAGATGTGTGGCAACTGCGTTACGAGCTTCGTCTGGAAATTGGTTGTGCGAACAGATAAGACAATCATCTGCATACAGGATAGCTTGCGAGTTTAAGTGGCGGTGTGGGAAATCATAAAGATATAAATTGAATAAGAGGGGCGCTAGGACGCTCCCTTGCGGGACTCCGCTTCTTACTTCTCCAAAGTCCGAAATGGCATTTTGAATTTGGACACAAAATTTGCGGTCCTTTATGCCAGGTCGAATCGAAGGCTTTCTGAATGTCTAATGATACTGCGACTGTTGAATTCTGCAATCTTAGGTTGTAGACAATATCCGAGTGTAGTTTAAGAAGTGCATGTTGCGTCGAATTTCCAGGCCTGAATCCAAACTGGTAGTATGAAAGAGGATTTATAACAAATTCATTTTCGATTTTTGATTTTAACACAGCTTCAAAAAGTTTTCCGATATTAGAGAGAAGTGAAATAGGTCTGAAATCAGCCACATTTTCTGAGGAGTTCTTTTTTTTAATGGGAATTATCTTTGAAATCTTCCACGATGGGGGGAAGTGCCCATTATTAAGACAGTTGTTGAAGACAATGACTAAGAGTTTTATGGCCGACTCAGGGATCTTTTTCAATATGTAGTTCGAGATGTTATCAATGCTGCAGGATTTCTTGTTTTTAGAAGCGGCAATTATGCTTTTAACAGACTCCGAATTTGTGAAGTGGTAAAGGTCTTCATTATCGAGGGATGTGAAATCATCATTAAAGGTATAAATTTGACGAGGAAGGTTTTCCAAACAACGACCAATCCTGGAATCTATGTTTTCCACAGGGCTATCTGGGGCTTGCTCGCTGAAAACTGATCCATAATAATTGTGAAATAGGGTACATTTATCTTCATCAATTGTAGCCGATATGTTATTATATGTAATACAGTGGCTATGTAATGATTGTCTCTTACCGATGACTCTGTTAATCTGCTTAAAAGCCGATGGACCGGGGGTAATTTGTTGCAGGAACTTCCCAAACCTTTTAGCTTGCTCCAATCTGATTAAGTCATTGATAATTATTTTTAGCAAGGAGATCTGCTTTGACAGAATATTATATTCCGGAGAAGTTCGATTGCCATTCCGATGATAAATTCTCTTTAATTGTTTCTGCCACCTATGCTTTTGGCTTAGAAATAGTTTAATGTTTTCTTGCAGAGGCCAGTTGCCATTTTTTAGTTCGATTTTGGTGGAATGTCTATCAGCCATGTTTGCTAGGGTTTGAGAAAATTTGTCCACGATATTATCAATTTCGGGGTTGCTCAGATTCCTGTTGATAGGTGGCAAAAGGACTGATGAGGCTGCATCAAGATCTCTTTTAAAATGAGACCAATTGGTATTCTTAAACGATTGGAATGAATTAGATGGTATTACATTGAATTCAAGGTCAGCTAATCGCAATTGTAACTTTAGTGGGTAGTGATCTGAAAACGAAGCTAAAGATGAAATTTCGTAATTAGGCGGGTTAAAGGAGATAAGATGCCTGCTAATTAGGAAGTGATCAAGGTATGAGCTCCCATTTGGGAATGAGGGATTCACATCACAGATTCTGTGTACGTCACTTACGTTGTCCTGAAGCCAATTCCAAAGAGAAACTCCATTCGGGTTTTGGATACGATCTCCCCAATAAGGGTTTTTTGAGTTTAAATCACCTCCAACAATCATACCATCATAATTATTAGCAAGGTTGAAAATTTTATCAAGACCTGAAATTATGTCCAATCTGGGGAAATTTGAAGGGATGTATAAGGATCCAATCATGTACCTTTTCGCAGCACCGCCATGTTTAAGAATTATTTCGAGAAAAATTGTGTGAAACCGCACATCTTCCAATGCTACTCGTTTGAAAAAAGTGTTGTCCTTAATTAAAATTGCTACACCCAGAGGACTATCGTCAGAGATTAGTTTGTATCCTTTAATGTAAATTCGCCGTTTGTTTTTCAGATGAAGCTCTTGTAGGAGGCAAACATCAATTTTATTATAAAATAACATATTTTGTAATTCAATTTGCCGCATCTTGTCTACGAGCGAGCGCACGTTAAAAGTCATAATATTAAGAGCCTTATAGACCATTTTTAACTTTGTTTAAAATACGAAGAAACTCAGCCTTAGCTTCACTTTTTGGCATATGTCGGTATTCGTTCAAGAATCTCTCGATTTCTTGTTCTAAGGTCAGAACTTCGGGCTCCATAAAATATTTTGACAATTTTAAAAACTCGTCAATCAATGCATTTGATTGGGAAGTTGGTGGTGAAGAAAAACAACCGGAAAAGGACTTACCAGGAACAATCATTGCAGAAATCGACTTCTTAACTTGCTGGGCCGCTACCTCTCTCTGCTCTCTGGATTTTCTCAATAGATTTCTTCTATTTTCCATATATTTTTTATATGAGGAACAACCCCTCCAGCTGGCAGGATGACCGGCTTCACCGCAGTTTGAACACACAGGGACATTGGATTCGGCTTCTTTTAATGAGCAAGCACCTGGCTCATGACTGTCGCTGCATTTAACGCATTTAAACGGGTAATTACAATTTTTGGCAATGTGCCCCCAGTGTTGGCAGCGCCTGCACTGAATGACCTTTTCCTTGTTTTTGGGAACTTCCCAATAGACGGTTTGATGTAAAATTCTATTGATGTGAACAATATCGTTTTTGGTTTTGCTTGGGTGTAGCGTAACTAAAAAAAGCCCGGTGTCATAGTTGTTTTGTTTTGAGTGTTTTGTCACCAACTTCGAGACATGGGCTACAATGCCCGGCGCCTCAGAATCCAAAATGTCCTTAACCTCAATAACGGAGGAACCACAATGCAAACCACGCAGCACCAAGGAAATTTGTTTTAGTTCAGTAGGGGTAAAAGAGTATGATTTTACTTTATTTTCTCTAAGAATCGCCATCATTTCGCTATGCAGCGAAGCGTCGTTAAAGTACAGTTTACTTTTATGTTTGTTCACATTTTTTATTATGAAAGAGCCGGCTGGCACTCTCTCTTCCAGTTGCTTTGCCAACAAGTTTATATCTTGATCATAAATGAAGATGGGTGGACAAAACTTATTTTTTGGTTCCACGTTGTTGGGACTTTTCTTGGCGGGCCGTTCCTTACGGCTGTTGGCAGCTGGCTTACTTTCACTCAAATTGTTAGAATTACCTTGGCTAGATGTATCGACAAATTTAATTTTACTCAAAATTGAGAAGCGGTTTTGGTTGCTAACGTCATAGGAAGTCACATCAACCTCCTCGTCATCAAAAGCACGCCGTTTCCTTGAGTTGCAAGCGCCTAACAGGGCGTTGTCACTAATGATTGTTTCTTTCATCCTGGATTCCTGAAAATTACTTACAGCCATAAAAAAAATGGCGTAAAAATTACCAGGAGGCACCACCGGTGAAAATTTCTTTTCAATTAAATTGAAAACTTTAATAAAATAAAACTTTGAAGCGGGACACGTGTATTCTTGTTCGTTGCCAATTCTAACCTCATGACCGAATGTCCCGATGGCAGCAATTCACAATAATGCATTTTGACAGCAAACTTGAGAGGTATCGATTATCACCTGGTCTCCCTGGGTGACCTTATTTATAGGCCATGGGTTTCTCGATATGTTAATCAAATATCGACAAGAGTATAGGCAAGATCTATTAATAAGGTCACCAAGATAGCAATCGAAATCGGAAAACTGCTGTTTTTTCTCAAGTCTAATGTCAAAAATTTCTACTTTGTTTACGTTTTCATAATGGAAGTCAATTCACAATAATGCATTTTGACAGCAAACTTGAGAGGTATCGATAATCAGCTGGTCTCCCTTGGTGACCTTCAAGATCTATTAATAAGGTCACCAAGATAGCAATCGAAATCGGAAAACAGCTGTTTTTTCTCAAGTCTAATGTCAAAAATTTCGACTTTGTTTACGTTTTCATAATGGAAGTAAATTCACAATAATGCATTTTGACAGCAAACTTGAGAGGTATCGATTATCAGCTTGTCTCCCTGGGTGACCTTATTTATAGGCCATGGGTTTCTCGATATGTTAATCAAATATCGACAAGAGTATAGGCAAGATCTATTAATAAGGTCACCAAGATAGCAATCGAAATCGGAAAACAGCTGTTTTTTCTCAAGTCTAATGTCAAAAATTTCTACTTTGTTTACGTTTTCATAATGGAAGTCAATTCACAATAATGCATTTTGACAGCAAACTTGAGAGGTATCGATAATCAGCTGGTCTCCCTTGGTGACCTTATTTATAGGCCATGAGTATAAGGATATCTGGATCGAAAATCGAACAAAGAATTTGTCGGTTTCATCAGCTGTCTCTCTCCCACCTCATTCGTAAACTTTCGGTTATACCACTTTGAGTTCATCTTTATCGGTCATTTTGTCTTCTCCTTCCATTCGTTAGGAGGTGGAACGTTTTTCAATTTTTCTTCAGTCGTTGAGAAAGACTAATTGAAAGAAAAAATAAACAATAAAATAACAAAAATACAATTTAGCAGATAAAAAATCAAAAAAACACTTATTCATGGCAACAAAAAGTGACCAAAGACCGAGGAACAAATAACAAAAAAATATATTCAAGTGAAATTTACTCGAAAAGTGTGAAATTGCATTGGTTTGCGCAGCGGAATATCAACACTAATTAAAAATTAGAGTGCGGGGTGACATACAAACAAACAAATTAACAAATTTGATTAAATCACCATTACTACTGTTTGTCATCTTCGAATAATAAACCATACGAAGCCAACCACACAGCAATGAAGACCATCGAGGAAATTAAACAGGAGTTTCCACTGCATTGGCATGTTTGGGAAAATAATGTGGAGGAATTACGAGAAACTCTAAAGAATGGAAAGGTAAAGAAGCGGCGGTGATAATTGCAAGGATTTGGTTGTTGGTCTGATTGTATATTGAAGAGGGGAGGGGTGGGGTAGTGACTTGTCTGACCTGCTGGAGCATATATACACCAACAACAACAGAAGAATAGATTGTTGGCAGGTCGTGTGTGAAAGTAAATTAAGGTTTCCGGGTCAATAGTAAAATGACCAAAACCACCACCCCAAAAGAACACCCAGTTGACTGAACCTTTCCCTACCTACCTCTTTCTGCTCTGCTGCTTTGTAATTATTCATATATTTAATTATTGTATATACTCTTCTTCTTCGTATAGATTGATAAGGAAAAAGTCGATCCCAGAGGCCGAACCCCATTGATGTTAGCGGTAAAATTGGGCCATCTACAATGTGTGAAATGTTTGCTATCCGCCAAATGTAATGCCACTTATGAACATGAGGGTTGGTCAAGTATGTATTGCGGGTTTATAAGTCGCTCGTCCATCTGCATTAACCTAATGAACTTTACATATATATTTGTTGTATTTGTTTACAGTCGTGCAAGAGGCCGTGTGTACTGGCAATGAAGATATACTAACTGCCATTTTAGAGGTACGTGATTTGCAACGCCATGTCCAACGTGTAACACATGTTCCAAAATTATTGCAACATTTGTTGGATGCTCCTGATTTTTACATCGAAATGAAATGGGAGTTTACGTCATGGGGTAAGTTTATCTGCTGAGGCACACAAGGTGTGTTTTCTTTAGTATTGGCTATTGTGAAAGCTATATCGAAATTTGAAAATGTCCGAAAGGAATAATATATCTGCAGTTAAAATACAAGAATGCTACCTAATGAAAGTGTACACAATATGTCAAAAAACTTCATTAGTGGTGTCATATTTACATATAATTGTCTTCAATTTATTCTTCATCGGATAATTTTATTCTCGAGGAAGTTGTTCTCCTAGGAAATAGAATTTCTTGCAGCTTAAGTGTGTTCAGTCCAGATAAATACTGAAGATAATACTTTTCTATATTATATTATGTGTACTTTTTGTATACTTTGCGGATTACTACATTTTATTTAAATTTTATTACAGTTCCATTAATGGCACGGCTCTGTCCAAGCGACACTTATCGTGTCTATAAACGTGGAGCAAATGTTCGTATCGATACCACATTATTGGGCTTTGATAACAACACATGGCAGAGAGGGAATCGCTCCTATATATTTAAAGGGTCTAGTAAGTATGAATCACTTATCAACTTTTAGGAAACTAACTGCAAATCCCACCCATTTCTTTAACTTACAGATGAAAACGCTACAATGATTGAAGTTGATCATGATACACGTGAAGTTATGATCGAACAAATGAATTCGGAAATTGGTGACATTATTGCAATACCACCACCAATTGGTGGCGTGAAGGCCCGTCTAAATGCACCGGTTATAACGAATAGCATTGAAATGGAAAAGATCAGTTTCGAAAGAAATAAATCAGGTATATGGGGTTGGCGTAGTGAAAAGTCTGAAGTCATAAATGGTTACAATTGCAAAGTGTATGGTGCAAGTAATGTGGAATTTATTACCAAAACTCGTATGGATCATCTAACGGAAGAGCAAATTAAGGTAATTTAAAAGTAGCATTTCCCAATGATCAATTTTTTAATAACAGGATTTTGTTTATAGGCCAAGACATCAAGAACGCCATTCCATAACTTTTTGGGCTTAGCCGAAGAAGAATATATATCAAGTCCAGATTTAGCAAATTTAAGAGAAAGGGTATGTTTATTGAATTTACGAGAATATATTAAATACAAATAATCATTAATTTTACATTTTGCATTTCTCAGACCCCAACGCCGCATACTGAGGAACATAATGAAAATGGTGATGAGGCATCCAACAGCAATAGTTCCAACAATTCCGGTTCCAGTTCCCCCAGAACTGTTATAACTCCCCAAGAATACTTTTCTAATGATGTAGATTTGGGGGGTCGTGATATTGGTCGGCCAAAGAAACTAAATACCAAAGTAAATACTACAATATTTGCAATGTTTTTTTTATTTAATTAAAATATGCAATTGTTTTAGATACAACGTTTCAAAGCCAATCTCTGGCTTTGTGAAGATTATCCAATGCGTTTACAGGAACAAGTACTTCCAATCTTAGATCTTATGTCCACCATGGCTAGTCCTCATGTGTCCAAATTAAAAGACTTCATTACAATGCAACTGCCTTCCGGTTTCCCAGTTAAAATTGAGATACCCCTATTTCATGTCCTGAATGCATGCATCACATTTGGCAATGTCTTTGGTATGACCACACCGGTGGAGCATGTAACAACGATTAATGAAGATGATCGCATTACATGTATAGTGGATGATGTTTGTTTTAACGAACCTCTACACTATACCAAGAAAGGTGGGTTAGTTCTGATTTAGTATAATGCTCGTAACTCACTCAACTTATGAGTAACTTCATTTCATTGTATTTTTGATTCTGATCTAGGAGCAGACGTAAGGCGCCAAATGCCATTAGACGAAGACGATATGCTGCAATACGCCATTGAACAAAGTCTAGTCGAAACAACTGGCGGTGCTTGTAGTGTACATAATTTAGAAAGTTCCTCATCGTCCACGGATAAAGTTGATATATGGGAAGCCCTGAGAGGTCAGGGAGTCGGAGCTGAAGATGAAGAAGATGAACAGCTGCAAAGGTAATTTGGATATGCATGTGATTAAAAATTTCTTATGTTGAGATGTTTTGATTCCTAAAAAATACCATGAAATATGGAATATAAAAGTGATATCAAGCATTGGCTTTCCAACTACCTTAATGGTCGTTGAGTTCCGTGGCCAAAAATCCAAATATTGCAATATCAAAATGGTAGCAACGTAAGGCGGTGTCCTTTCTCCCATTTTGTTCAACATGTATCTTACGAAACTCCACATTCCTCCACCAAATGTTTCTGTGGTGTCGTACGTCGATGTCTGTACGACGTAAGAGCAAAAATGTCCAACTATTTAGCCACCATTAAAAACTTCTTCGGGAAGTGCAATTTAAAATTGTCCACTGCAAAGTCTACTGTCACATTTCACTCCCTGTAGGCTAGAAGTCAATTTAGAACTTGACATTTCCATTCAAGGTAGGCGCATCCATAATTCGAAAATCCTTGGGGTGGTCTTCGATAATCTCCTCCATTTCTCCTCGCACTCTAACCAAAAATGGAAAAAAAGTTCTGAAAGATTTGGCTGACAATATTTTCAGGAAAGAACTTTTACCAAACAGCCAACCTTTTACAACAACAACAGATCTTCTACTTTGTAGTCCTTGTTATTGACGCACAGATTTCAGATAACATTTGTGGACTTCAGATTTAATATATTGTGCTATACTTTCCTTGACCCTCCCAATCAAATTCATTCTGACTTGTATAAGTGGGCGATTTCTTTATATTATTATGGCAAGGATAACTCTCTCTGAAACACTTAAGCTGGTACTGCAATCAAAGTTTTATTACTTTTCTGACTTACAAGAAAATCTTCGCTTCCACATGGAGATGGTCCGCAGCATTCTGATAAATATCAAAACATATGCCAATTCTGAAACTGGCGCCAATGAATTTTCAATAGCTTTTGGTAGGTCAAGAGCTGCCAACAACTTTCAGGATAACTTTCCTTGTGTCTTAAGAGCATTCGCTACTGGTGGTGAATTTTAGATTGGCTTGTTAATTTTTCTTTGCTGGCTCCAGGAGAAAAACCACAATGGCTATTTTCAATGATTTGGATTTGGAACGATGTGTTTGGTTAACGAAAAATGAATTACTCTTGTCAGCTACTGGGATTCAGTTCGTTTCGTTTTTTAATTGAGGGGGGCGAACATCTTAGATTATCTTAAAAGTTTAATTCGATATAAATATATTAAAAAATTTAATTGACTATTTAATTTTTCGTTTTAATAATTATTACATTTTTCTGTGTGACTAAAATACGATGCAAGTTTTGAAAAATTTTAAATTTGTTTTATTGCTGCTTGCCTCCCCAACTATTGGCTAGATTAACAATTAATAAAGCAAACAGTCAAAAAACAACACCAACACGTCTAGCACCACCAACAACATTTTCACAACATTCCAAATCCTCACCCAATTCTCCTAGAAATCGTCAAAATACGAATCCTCAAAATTTCAAAAATGATATTAACTACATGAAAAACATATTCAAATAATTTTATTACTTATTATCATGGTTATTTTTTTTTTTAAATCACCAAAACTCCTTTACCGCTCCCATATTTCACAAGTATTGCTAATTTGGTCATTAGTGGTAGTTAAACCCCCAACCTGTGCTTTCTCAATTTATTTTCCCATAGAGTGCTACAGGAATCGTTGTGTGCAGTTAATGTGGCAAGTTCTCCTGCTTCGGACGACGATGATGGCGGCTTTAAATATATCGATCCGGATTTAGCGCTGGCTCTACGGCTGAGTCAACAGGATCAGCAGCAATATGAATTGGAACGTAAACGTGAACAGGAAATGATAGAACAAGCTTTGAAATTGAGCTTACAAGAGCATTAAATTGTGGTATTTTTTTATATTCTACTTATCATCATTAAGTTAGTTTTCATTTTTTTATATATTTTTTGTTTAAAAAACAAAATAGACACAAAAAGTTGTCTGCTTTCTGAAACGTGTCCTTTTAAAAATAAGTCTATAAATATATTTTATTTAAATATATAAAAAACAAAGTCACTTTAATTATCACTTATAGTTTTGATAATCTATGTATTTAAATATGTTTGTATTTTTTTTTTATTTTTTCTCTTTTTCTTTGTTTTGTTTCATAAACACACACATAATTAAATTATGCCAAAACCATTTTTTATTTGCAATCTTTATGTTTTTTTGTTAAAATCGTGTTATTTAAGATCTTATTATTAATTGCAAATATTGAAAACCAGAAAACCCAATTATATACACTAAACAATATACTTTTGTATACTTAATTGTAACAAACGTATATGTATTTACACATATATGTTAAACATATTATAAAACACATTCACATATATACGTACTATACTCTACATTACACACAGAAGAGACTTGTCTTGAATCGTAACATTTCGAAGTGAAAAATAAAGAAAATAAAAACAAAAAAGAAACAAATCTAAAAAAACAATATTATCACTTTATTTTAATTTGTTATATTTATTATATATAGAAATAAAAAAAGAAATAAAGTGAAAGAAATAAATCACAGTACCATACACGAAAATATCAAAGTATCAAAATGTGTTTTTAATTTGGAGGAAGTGAGTAGACAGACGGCTTATTCAATAATCCCACAGAAATCGACTCGTACAAAATGTTAATTACTTTTTATTTTAAAAAAGAGTCAATTCTATTTTATTCTACTTATGTATTTTATTTACGATAGAGTAACCACTTCCGTTTTCATTTAGCATTTAGGTAATATTTAAATATTTGAATTTAGCAGTTAATTATGTAAATAGTGCCATAAAATCTCATATTTGTTCTTAAAACTTTTTTTGTACAACCACATGAAGTATATAAGCAAAACCTAATTTCATTATAGGACCTCTCATCGGTTTAGCAATCATTAGTCTAGCTATGTTGTTGCTGTTGCTATGAATGGTCTCCGAGTATACCATTCATATGGTATTGTTCTGCTGAATGGACGACTTTGTCGATATGAATGCTATACAGACCTCCCTGATAGGTTGAACTAAAAGATCACGCTCTCTCTCTCTATATATATATCATGGATATCTCTCCTGACTTGCCTGGTCGGGGAAGCCTGTCCATAAGTATATGTCATGGGTGTTCTTGACAAAGCAGGTGCTGCATCTGTAAAATTTAGAATGGACGGGTAGAATTCGCCACATCTGAAATAACCACTGGTGTCATAAGGACACACTCTTTTGCAATGCCCCTATGTATCACTTTCACTTGCAAACCACACTGGCGTCGCACAGCTTACCATTGACTGTCCTTTTGCTTTACATGCCGGTCAGCGACTTGAAGACCTTGTTCCTAGTTCTCAGTTTATCGTAAATAGCAGTAGCTTACCAAGACGACTTGAATAGTCCTTCGAATGTTACAAACAATATATTAGGGGTCTGTTCACCATCTATTATTAGTTTCAGTAGATCAGAGTGTCCAAGAAAGATGTGATTGTAGATTTAGTGGCGCATGAAAAAATGTATATATCATTAATGATATAATATATATGATAATATATTACAACCTTTCTATGCCGTCCGGTAGTTGTGTATAATCGGTACAAATAAATTACCCACTTTGGAGAACTCCCTGCTGAACTGTACTTCTTGTTTTCGAACTCCTTATATAATTGACGTCCACGCATATTTATACCCTCAGCCCTATGGCCTGATCGAAATATTGGTTTCAGACTCCATGTTTCGTTGAACCAAATATGTTTAGACAATTTGGATTCGATATACAAATGTCCGTCCGTCTGTCTGGCCGGTTGGTCCGCACGATCACTATCGAAGGGGGTAAACGATGTCATCCAAACTTTGCACATCTTTCAAACTTTGTTCAAGTCCGAAGATGGGGCCCATTGGTCCACTCCTTGACCCACAAAGGTTCGTCCCACTTCTTCTTGTACCTCCCTCACAAATGGTGAACATCTTCAATATTTATAAATTCAACATCAAGCGAATGGAATGTTCGATTTAAACCAAACTTCGCACAATACATTTTCTTTATCAAGCCTAGATCAAGTCCGAAGGTGGAACCCGTCGGCCATCTCCTTCTGATACCTCCCATACAAAGGGTTAATATTTTATAAACTTGCGAATTTAATTTGAAGCGAATTGAATATCCGATTAAATCAGCATTAAATCCGTAAACTGTTTGATAAAAACATTTGCCTTGTATAAAGCGAATAATAAAACCTGTGTGTAATCCCAAAGACCTCCGCAAAATAAAGACACTTTTTTTGCTTGTTTTTATTATTTAACATTTCAAACTCGGTTGGAGGTTGATTTTCACTACATCCGCGAATAGCTTGGTTGATGGTATCCAAGGCATTCGACATTTCAAGAGCAACCAATAGGTTGGTTCTGCGTGCTGAATTGGGCTATCGGAAAATTGTTTCTCATCTTCAGCTATGCTAAGATCCTTGCCAGGCAGCGGGACTACTCTACCGATATATAGAAGGCTGATTATAAATACGTAGCTCCGGGTTCATCAAGTGACCAGAGGCTGCTGGTCAATCCGGTACATTGAACCAACCTTCGTGGGATTGGTGTTGTACTTCTATTATTTCTTTCGAAATAGGCTGGCGATTGGTACGTCTCAAATGCCGAATCTACATCTAGAACGCTGTGATCTTTCAACGATATTTCTATATAGAAAATATACACAATTTTAACATTTTCAAAAATTTAAAATTTATTTGGAATTTTTAGTATTACGATAATCACACTCGCACATACTATTATGCGTATGTATGTTTGTATTTATAAATGTATAAAAATAAATTTGAGAGAAAAAAATGTTGATTGGATATTTTTTAGTGATACTAATAAAGTTGCTTATATTATTTTGAATAAAATATTTTTATGGAATATCAAATTACAACAAAATTAACCATTAGGAATTATCAACCGATAATATGAAATAAAATTTTAAGTACTGAAAAAAATTTAAAATTAAAATAAAGTCGATGTTATAAGGAATTTATTAAAGTAGTAAAATAAAAGGTGGGATATGATTTCACAGAAATATAAAAGAAAATGCTGCCAACGAAATGGATACAATTGTTAAAACATATACATGAACAGATCACAAATATTTCGCTAAAATTTGATTAAATACAATAATAAAATTGAGCTATATAACTAAAAAAAAATTACATGTACTATTAAAGGTAAAGAAAAAATTTATTGATTTATGATATAAAACAAATGTTGCATTTAATCAATATTTTTTACAATTTAATTTGAATTTTCATTTTACAAATTGCGTATTTGATTTTTAAGCAATGCTCGGTTAAACAATTCAAATGGATGGAAATTTTGTTGTCTTAATAGTTAATTTGACGATTTTCTCAATAATTTTGTTTTTATATTTTGTTTCAAAAACTAAATTTTAGATAACAGAATGTATGTGTGTTGTGCTCAGTTGTAATAAAAATAATAATAGTTAAACGTAATAGCAAAATTTGTTGTAAAATAAGTGTATAATTAATATATATGGTATGTACATAAAAAATAAAAATAAATTGTATAAAAATGTTTACACTATCAATTAAAAAAAGAAATTTTAAAACTCTTAGCATACATTTAAAATTAAAAACTAATATGACACATTGCTACAAAAGCCTTAAAAAGTCGTTTTAGCTTTTAGTTTTTTTTCTAAAAAAATATGTTCTCATTTTAAAATTATTGCACCTTAATTGTAGTTTAGTTGATTTCTTAATCGAAATAGTGATCTTTAATAGTAATAATGCGCATCCGATTGTTGCGAAATAAAAATATTCTTCTATTGGATAAAGAAGAAGTGTATATTAAAACTTAATAATAAGCTGAGTTAGTTTGTTTCAGTTATTCTAAATTACTTATGTTTGTATATATCCGTATATAATTTAAATATACTTAAAGCATTTTTGTTTGTCGTGTGGTATACGGGTCTTAAATAATATCGAATCTGCTCGATATTGTGTATTTAAAAGTGGTGTATAGCCGAAGACCTGAAAGTATGAAATTGAGGGAAAATATATAAAAGTTTAATTATAAATATGTACTTAAATACTCCAAAACAATAATATATATAAAAAATTTTATGTGTACACAATTTCACATCGCGATGCCAAAATGAATAGATGTTTGAACAACATATTTTTATATACATATACGGCAAAAATGCGCCTCATCGAAATATTGGTTTTAGACCCCATTCTTCCAACAATTTGGAGCCGATGCGCACGAAATTTAATCAAAATTGTGATTAAATTTATGTTAAAAAATTGATTAAAATTTATGTTGAAACAATGCGAACGGACTATCCGATTTGAAACAAACTTTGTACCATCTTTACAAAGCCTAGATCAAATCCAAAGATGGGACCAATTGGACAACTCTTTCTGGAATCTCCGCCCACAAATAAATCCAATATCAGGCGAATGGAATGCCTGATTTAAACAAAACTTTGCACAACGTATTACCTTTGCCAGATCAAGTCCGAATAGGTCCGGTCAACCCCTTCTGGTACCTCCGCCACAAATTGCGAAATTTTCAATATTTATAAATCCACCGTGTGATATGCATTTAAAATTCATTTCCTCGGTCGGAAACATTATATGGGGAGTATCTAATTGCAAACAGTCTACCAGAAGAGTCAAATTCAAACCCTCAGGATGAAATATTAAACATATCGAAAATTAAAGGGACCTTCGAATAAAAGCTATTTACCAACATAAACATAAACCTATGATGAAATTTTAACAAATTTCAGAAAATGGGAAGAGATTTTTATATGAAGACAATCTCAACACAGTCAATTCGGTTAAAAAATATGGATAAAACCTTCAAACTAAACCTTCTTCGATAACAATAAATACAATAGACACATTCTTTTATTTTCCGTCAAATTATTCAGCAAAGAACGACCTGCACGGTGTGTCGACGAGGATATGCCATGATCGATATTCCGTCCTCTACCAAACAATAGTGTATGAACTCAGTAAACTTTAAATACCCCAATTTTATAATCTTATCGTAAACTCAGCACCAAATTTTCCTATAACACATTTGAAAATTATTTCTTTGTTCGTTACTAGCATATACCTTCGTTAGCGAATGTGGGAAGTATTTAAAACCCAATACCAAACCTTATATAACACTTTTGGAACAATTTAGTACCTATGTTCTCTTATAGTATTTTCCCAAACTACCTCCATATCTCAACCCTATTCTGACCGCAAAAGAAATCTAGCTCTATACAAAATATGGTGTCATTTTTTACCCTTTGTACTCTTGTAAAATTTCCAAATTTCAAATATCCAAATTAAGTACCAGTATAAAAAATTGTAACAAATTTAGTGCCATTTAGTAAACATTTCCAAAACTTTCTACATACCCCAATCCAACACCCCAAAAGTGATCCTAACTTCACATGTCAAGATTCCAGCTCTATTGGTTTACCTAAATCCAAATTTGGTACCATTTTGTACACATTTCCAAAACTTTATACATACCTGAATCCTACATCCCAACAGTGATCCTAACTTCAAATTTCGAGATTTTAGCTCTATCGGTTCACTCAAATCCTTATTTTGTACACATTAGTACAAATTTCCAAAACTTTCAACATATCTCAATCCTACACCCCAACAGTAACTCCATCTCCAAATTTCAGGATTCCAGCTGTATTGGTTCACCCAAAATTTAAATTGTACAAAATTTAGTACAGTTTAGTACCCATAAATATACATTTTTAAAACTACATCCATGCCCTAATCTTACACTCCAACAGAACCATTATTTCCAAATTTCAAGGTTTCCAACTCAATTGGTTCACCTAAAAGTTAAATCGTACCAAATTTAGTACACATTAGTACGAATTTCCAAAACTTTCCATAAAGCCCAATTCTACACCCTCAAATTTCAAAATTTTAGCTCAATCGGTTCACCCAAACCCGCATTTAGTACAAATTTCCAAAACTTCATTGCATCGGTTCAACCGACCTTTAAATTTTACACAATTTAGTTCACATTAGTAAAAATTTCCAAAACATCCTAAATAGCTCAATTCTGCCCCAACAATGATGCTAACCCCAGCTGTAAAGATTACAGCTCTATCGGTTCATCCAAATCCAAATTTGGTACCATATAGTACACTTTAGTACAAATCTTCAAAATTCTCTACATACCATAATCCTACACCCCAACAGTGATACTGACTCCAAATTTCATTGTTCCAGCTCTACCGGTTTACAAAAATCCAAATTGTACCAATTATAGTACGATTTAGTACTTTTCGTACACATAAGTGAAAAATTTCCAAAACTACGTACATATCCCAATCCTACACTCTGACGGTAATTTTAATTTAAATTTTCAGGATTCCAAATCGATTTGTACCTCCAAATTAAATTTGTACCAAATATAGTACCATAGAGTACTTTTCGTATACATAAGTACACGCTTCCAATCCAGCTCCTTATAGCGACCATTAATTTGTATTCCAAATTTCAAGTTTTTAGCTCAATCCATTCACATGTTACGAAATTGTACCAATTTAGTACATTTCAGAACTTTTCGGATACTTATAGTTCGAATATCCAAAAAACCCTTTGCTACATCTATTCTACACTCCATCAAATTTCAGAGTTCTAGCTCTACCGGCCAAATACAAATGAAACCAGATTTAGTACTTTTCGTACCGTTCTAGTACGAATTTCCCAACAACCCAGCCTTATCTGACACCTTTGGACCCTCACCTAAAATTTGAAGATTCTAGCTTCAGCCGTTTCGTCAGGGCTTTGATGAACCGTTAAGTCAGTCAGTCAGACAATCACTTTACTCTTTTATTAGTATTAGTATAATCTTAAATTGATATTGTAAATAGTACGCCAAGTAAATGGACGTAATAGCTATTAAGCCCCATCTACACATTAATAGTTTCACTATACCATCCTGTCGATGGGGTACTGTACAATAGTTCACAATACAGTACAAAAATCAAATATATTTGTATTTTTTGTTTAGTATGGTTCTTGGAAGAATTTTGCAAAAACTTCTTCTAAATGTACTGTGCTCACAATACAGTACAAAAATCAAATATATTTTTATTTTTTTTAGTATGGTTCTTGGAAGAATTTTGCAAAAACTCCTTCTAAATGTTAAATTAACGATATTGATACATATACATTTTGTACTTACTTGTGAAAAGAAATTTATACACTTATGCCTCTCCTGGAAATGAGTATCATCTTCACTTAAAGATACTGGACATCCGGGACACCGGAAGGTCCAACGAGATGTTACTTTCACTGGCGGTTTTCGTGTTATATGCGACACAAGGAAATTCATAGCAATATCTTCACAATTCATATACTCGTCCACTTTATCACGTATTGCCTGTGGCAATTGATATGTGTACAAGTACATATAGTATTTATGGATGAAGGCAGCACCCGTCAACACCATACTCAGTTCACAACTGTAATTGGAGTTGTAATTCCAATGATGATTATCATTTAAATCCCATGCATGAAACCGTCCAGGGAAACCAACAACACGGTCGCGATGTTCTCGCCACACACGAAAACCGAAAAGTATTTCGTCATGTCGTAAATGAGCATCATCATCGACAGATAGAACAGCTTCCGTTTCGATAACATCATAAGGGAGGAAGCGATTGTTGAGCGAGTTTCGTGGTGCTCTAACAACTGCTACAGGTACGCCTATGTCCGGCCAACGTAGATCATCTAATGGTGGTTTAGGTGAATTCCACACAACTACTACTTTGTGCAAATATGGCAAGCCATAGAGTCGTCCCAACGAGTCCATCAGTACTTGTTCTCGTTCATATGTTAGTATGACAATTGTAAACTGTTCCCTGGGATAATTGCCACCTAAGGCTTCACTGAACTCTTTACCAGCACCACCGCTGCCCTTGCCAATTGGACGGAAACCCATGTGAGAGCCCATAAATTTTGCTTCTGAAGGCAGTACTGGGTCAAAAGGCAATTGAGGATACATATAAAATGGATCAACCTGTTATGGGCAATAAAATGGGAGAACTATTAACAAATGAAGATAATGTAAAATTTCGATCTTACCCAATCATTCCAGGCTTCCCTTGATTGCATCCTCAAAATGGTGTAATTACGCTTGAATGCAGGACTTGGATATGGCGGTTCCATAGGTCCCAATGATTCTTCAGGTTCTGTATCCATACCAACGGGTGGATCCGATTTCAGGGGAATAAATGTATTGTTGAAAACACTTTGGGCTATAACTGGTGGAACTGGCCTGGGTGGTATACCCAAACGATCACGTAAACTTGCTATAACCGTATCCACTGTGGACTGCACGGAACTTAAATAACGTTCCCAAACTAAACGACCTTGACGTCGCATCAGCAAGAGATCACCGTCCTGGATTGCCCTCAATAGGAAGTGCAATTCTGTAATACGGGCTTTTGGCAACAGTAATGCTACTCGACGCCAATCAATTGTTTCACTGTAAGGTAGACGTACCTCATCGGCTCCCAGTATTACCGGTATCGCACCAGAACGTAAAGCTTCATAAAGACGTGCCAACATCAATGTTGAACTAACCCGTCTCTCCAGGGGTGGTAGAATTAAAGCGAAAGTGGATTCTTTTAAAATTTGTTTACGCGATGAATCGGTGCCGCACAATGCCCAGTCGACAACAGCATTATCATCTTGTTGTTCCGTTGCCGGAACACATTTGAATTGCAGAAGGAACTTGTCCAGTGTGGGACCTTTCGCCATTTCGGTCAGATGGTCCAATATGAAATCATCCAAAGGATGAGGTGATTGTAAGGGCTGATTTAATGGTCGCAATTCACCTTGGAATGACAGAAGGTAAGCACGTCTTGCTGGCACCATTGCGGCACATTCTTGCCAAACGTCACCGCCCGGAGGACCCAATATGGGTGGTACTATCAAGTCATAGTTTTGTCGGAATTGTGCCGCTTCGAATGATGATTGTACTACAATGGCACGCATTGTATTCTGATTGAGTAAAGCATTGGTGGATTTGGAATTGAGATTTCTTCGGGCAAGATTTAGGAGTACATGATTGCGTCCATCACCACCCCAATATGGTAGTTTGTAGATTTTATTCATATCGATGGCGTTGTATTTGTCTTGTACTCCATACACTGAACCACTTTTCTCTTTTTCTTCTTCCTCATGGGCTGCATAACGATTATTCTTCACCGATTCGCTTTCATACAAAGCTTCACCAATTAATACCAAATATATGCAAGCTTGTTTGGGATCTCTGACAATATGAGCGTTGTACCCCAATGTTTGTTTAATGGTTGTCCGTAGGAAACCATCGATTTCATAGCCGGGCTTTAAGACATTATATGTATCTGGGTCATAGAGATAAACGGGAAACCCCGAGGTCAAACTACAGCGTGAGTGATCGAAACAATTGTGCATTTCACATGTGACCATCGTTTGTAATGAGGTGGCAGGCATGTTGCGAGGTAAGGCATTTGGATACAAGGTACGTGGTAGTGCCAGGTCTGGTGTATTTCGCTGCACTGCTTCTTTTTGTGCCACCTGAGCTTGTTCAACCGATATTTTAAGTCTCTCCAGTTCGGTTTGTTCACGCATCAAATCTTGTTTGAGTTCTTCGATTTTTTGATTGCACTGTCCAATGTCGGATTGAAGCTTTTGACGACGTGCTTCCAGCTCGCGCAATTCAATGGAAACGGTGCTCTGTAAAATAGGAATATTGTGTTACCACAATATTTTTATTTTCCAACCTCCTCTCCACTTACCTTTATTCGGAGCAGCTCCTCAATTCTCATTTTCAAATCACTGGCTCGCATGGAGCTGAAATCTTCATAGGCATCCAGCAGAGGTCTTTGCCTATGCAAATCCAATTGGGGAACATCACTATCGGGCTATAAAATAAAAATAGCAACACAATTACCGCTTTGAACACTCATCTCACTCACACGCAAACACTTACATTTAGTAGATTCCGGTGAGCAAATAAGGGCAATAGAACCAACAACAAAAGTATCAACAATATACTTTTGTAGATCCGATAATGTCGAAACCAAGAATTAATACTGCCACAGACAACGGAAATAAATCCACCGAGGGAAATTGTTGTTGCCGATGTTGATGATGGTGGTGATACCATTGTTGGTTTTTCGCCAGTGTCTACTTCTAATAGGTGATAAGTGCTGATATTGGACGAAGATGATGATAAATGAGCCTGCTGATGTCCCGTATTGTTCGTGCTCATTTTGTCCAGTTACTGGTTGATGACTTGTTAGTTCACAAATCGTTCCCAAAGACGTACGCTGTTAACATCTTTTCATTGTATTGATGGAGTTGGAGTTTTTTCTTAATTATCACTAAAATTAAATTTATTAAAATATTTTAACAAATTAAGGAAACTAAAGTACACCGACCGTAAATACGCACCACAAACGTCGTCGTACCAAAGCCACACACTGAATGAATGAAGGCGCCTACGAAATTACAATGCCGACAGAGTTAAAAAAACGACGGCAAATAGGTTTCAAGACGTAACTGATAAAGCAGAATCAAAACAAAACGGCTGATAAAGGCCAAGAATCAAAACAAAATTGGCGAGGACTGTATAGGGCATTAGAAATCTATTGGCGGCAAAATGAACAGCTGACAAAATGTGAAAACTAAAGTTGAGTATACATCATCGATCGATTATGTTGGTATGGAACTCATAAGTGTGCTTTTCCACAGGCAGATTTTTATTTGGCAAATTTTTTGTTTTCTCTTTTGAAATTTTCGCTTGCTTTTCCATTAGCAAATTTTTCTTTGCCAAATTTGCGAAACAAAATACAAAAGAAAGAAAATAAAAGTCAAAAGTGTTTGCATTTTAAAGATTTTTTTTTAAAATTTTATTTATTTTTTATATATTTTTTTATATAAATTGCAAAAATTAAAAATTAAATTTCACTTGCACAAATTAAAGCAACAGGTTTGTAAACAAAAGCCGGCTGTGTGTCAGTAAAGCGAATAGGTTCAAAAGGAAATGTCAACAAAATTGTTTTCAACGAACAGAGCAAAGCAGAATTTGCGTGTACGGCAAATTCTGAACAGGCAAATTTTTGTTTTTCTTCCTCACACCCGTCTCGCCTACAAACTCAGTATTTGCCAAATAAAAATTTGCCTCTGGAAAAGCAGACTAAGGGATCTAGGCATTGTGTTTTCGAGTAATAAACAGGATGCGCAAAAATTCGCTCGCGAATGATTCAAAATACATTCTTTTCGTTTTGTGCTCATTTTAAGAATGAATTTATGGCGATAAACTCCCTACCAAACGAACATTCGCCAAAGAATGGTCGCACATACACTATTGATGATTGGGATTGGTGTTGAGAGTTTTTCTCTCTCTCTCATTGGTAAATTGAGAGTAATTAGAGTTGCGCAATTTTGTAACAAGCGTACTTTTTGTTCACAAAAGGTACGAATTGAATTGACGTACCAAAACAAAAAATAGATTTTTTTATTATTCGTGAATACATCAACGCTTAAATTATAACATATATTATTTATGCAACTAGCTGGTATAAATATTGGTCAATATTTCTCGATAATTATGATTTATTATCTTTTGAAGTAAAATTTTAGGTACTTTTTCGTACTTTTTTGTTCCTACCTGTGGCAATGTTTTCCAACTCCATCAATGAGAGAGAGAAAAAACTCTCAACACCAATCCCAACCACCAACAGTGTAAAACTGAGATAGAACGTATTTTAATCATTCTTCGCACCCTGGTAATAAACAATTTGTTTCAATGGGCGCAATTTCCTTTTTATTAATTTCTGTTTCGAGATGAGCTACATGATCAAAGTTACAATGAAAAGGAAAGTCAGAGAGATATTACATTCCCACCATTATGCGATGCGTTTCGCCTTTGGTTAAGCGGCTCATCAGGCATATTGTTGCCAAATTGCATCTACGAATTAAATTCAACCGTGTCAAGGTTCGTACATTTGGCATCACACCAGAACATTCCTTTTCAGAGCAGATTTTTTGTAGTGACGGACTTTTTTTCCATACCGACTACAATATATTTTTTTTAATGGTATACAACTGCATATTGCATATTTCCGCCTACCGCGTATATAGATAAAGATATTCCATTTGTGGAGTGTCTAAGGGTTATATCTTTAAAATTCACTAATATGGGTATTAATTTGAAGTGGCTGGAGTCTTGACTACAAAAATAATATAACTTTTAAGAAACCCAAAATTTCCAAGACGCGGGCTAGGAGAATTCCACTGGTACCCATAAAATGAATTTCTATTTAAACAGAATAGGTTAAATTAAGGGATATTTACCCACCAGTTGTTTAGTAGCTGCTTTCTCCTGAAAAGGGTAAAGTAGAAGAGAGGAAAAGGAAAGGAGTGGGTGGTATAGAAAGTAGTTACATGTTTTAGCTTGATCATGACATATGTTTGGTAAAGCTAAGTATTTTAACCCTTTGACGTATTTCCACGAGTCTGACTCGTGGTACAATTTCTGTGCCTAACATGATTATGATTCGATTCTCATAATAATAAGAATAAAACTAGTTAATGCCGTGCACAACATCTAATCTAAAATAAATAGTTTTATTACACGCATTCACATTTTGTTTCGTTTTGCGGCTGTTCTTAAGTCTGCTTTTCCACAGGCAGATTTTTATTTGGCAAATACTGAGTTTGTTGGCGAGAGGGGCGCGAGGAAGAAAAACAAAAATTTGCCTGTTCGGAATTTGCCGTACACGCAAATTCTGCTTTGCTCTGTTCGTTGAAAACAATTTTGTTGGCATCCTTTTGAACCTATTCGCTTTACTGACACACAGCCGGATTTTGTTTACAAACCTGTTGTTTTAATTTGTGCAAGTGAAATTTAATTTTTAATATTTGCAATTTATATAATAAAATATATAAAAAATAAATAAAATATTAAAAAAATCTTTAAAATGCAAACACTTTTGACGTTTTTTTTTTCTTTCTTTTGTACTTTGATTCGCAAATTTGGCAAAGAAAAATTTGGTAATGGAAAAGCAAGCGAAAATTTCAAAAGAGAAAACAAAAAATTTGCCAAATAAAAATCTGCCTGTGGAAAAGCAGACTAAGCATCAAAACCGGTTTACTTAGTGCAAGTTGTGTTCTAACAGTTGGAAGCGAACTTCGTTGCGCTAATTGATACGTCAAAGGGTTAATGGGATCTATTCCGGAGAAAAAAAGCTTGAGTATCTTTTTCGTGTGTATAACAAAAAAGGAACACTGGAGGTAGTGGCTTTTGCCAAATAATAAATATACGCAACAGGTTCTTGTGTTTATTTGAAAATGTTTCAACAAATAACAAAAACGCGAAAAATCAATTATTTTTTTTAATCGAGTAGGGAATACCATGAAATGTTAGGTATGTATGAATACTTACTTAGTTGGCTTGCGACAGAGCTTTCGTTCCATAAGCCGGGTTTAAAAAAGATTTCCAGCCGCGTCGGTCTTTTGTGCAGTTTTTCCAGTTTGAAAGATCATATTCGGCAATGATGTCTTCCACTTGATCTTTCCATCTTATTCGTGGCCTTACCCTTCTGCGTGAACCATCAGCTGGTTAGCTTTTGTATACCTTTTGGGCTGGGACATCTTCATCCATTCTCACAACATGACCTAGCCAACGTAGTCGCTGCTCAATACGTCTAACAATGCCGAAGTCCGAGAATAGCTGGTACAGCTCATGGTTCATTCGACGGCGATATTCACCGTCAACGCAGATCGGTCCATAGATCTTTCGGAGAATTTTTCTCTCTAACACTCCAAGAGCTGCCTTATCTGCTTGCGTAAGTGCCCATGCTTCAGATCCATATAATAGCACGGGTAGTATCAGCGTCTTGTAGTGTGTGAGTTTGGTCTGGCGGGAGGTGGTCTTCCTTTTGAGTTGCTCACTCAGACCATAGTAGCATCTATCCTTCTCCGAATTTCAAAACTAATGTCATTGGTTTTATTTATGGTGGTACTAAGGTATATAAAATATTTGACTACCTTGAAGCTGTAGTTCTCAAGTTCCACAGTTGGTCCGAGTCAGAACTCCCTCCAATATAGGAATTGATGATTCTGCCTTCTAGCATTCCATTATTCAATTGAGAGCAGAAATGTAGAGAGTGCGGAATGAATGGAATCCATTTTCTCAATGTAGAAGATGGAATTGTCCATATTCTTCTTGATGTGTTGAATTATCTTTATAATAAAACAGAGTTCTTGTAGGAAGCCGACCTTCGGAATTTAAGACTTTCTTTTACGGAAATCGAATAGTGCAATCTAAGTCTTACGTAACGTTACGTCTTCCATTAATTATTTAGCATGAAGAACATTTCAAACTGTAAACAAAAATAAAATTTTCAATAATGCAGTTCTGTTGTACGTTACGCTCATCTTTATCGGCCACTGTTGTATCCGTCTCCTTGCATTCCTAAATAACTACATTACGTCTTCCAGTAATTACAAATCAAATTTCAATCAGAGCTGTTCAAACTGAACAATAGAATATTGTCGATAATACAGTTCGTCTAGCTGTCTCTCTCCCACCTCATTCGTAAACTTTCGGTTATACCACTTTGAGTTAATCTTTATCGGCCATTTTGCCTTCTCCTCCCATTCGTTAGTAGGTGGAACGTTTTTCAATTATTCTTCTGTCGATAATGCAGTTAATCGATTATCAGCTGTCTCCCTCCCACCTCATTCGTAAACAACACGGTTTCCATTTAGTCTCTCTCCCACCTCATTCGTAAACTTTCGGTTATACCACTTTGAGTTCATCTTTATCGGCCATTTTGTCTTCTCCTTTCATTCGTTAGGAGGTGGAACGTTTTTCAATTTTTCTTCAGTCGTTGAGAAAGGCGCGAGAAAAGGATCTTCGTGTTGATTTGTTTTTAATTTGTTGTGAAATAGTTTGAAAAATAAAATATCTGTTTGTATTGTTAACCGAAGAATGAATTAAAATGTCATCAGGAAGCAGTAAATTGCCGCTGGAAACTCAAATTATACGCCTGGGAGAGAAACATAATATTTCGCAACTGCAGCTGTTGATCGAGCAGACTTCAGCAAAGCAAGTGAGTTTGATGGAATGGCTACCTCTCAGTAACCCATACATCCGGAAGAACGAATATATCTAAACGCTTCCTGTGTAACATTTATCTGAGAGGTTCCCGAAAAGTCAATTGCAATTCCATTGGATCCAATTTAAATCACTAATTCTTTATAAATCATTCCAGCTCACAACAATACTCTCCAGTAAATTGGGTAGAAATGATTGTACAACACTGTGGAACTATCTGCTACAAGGCTTCCATCCCAATAACCATGACTCGAAGGAGAAACGATTTGCATGTGTCAAATGTTTTCTCGATGGCCTGCTCCGGGTGGAGTTAAGCTATAAACAAATGTATGATTTAATTACCCGCCTATGTCAGGATTTAAATACATTTCCCAGTGATCAATTGATTGAAATTCTGGAACATTGTATAGACGGTCTACGTATGGGTGATCCGAAATGTGTTGGCTGGAAAGATCTACTGCCGGAAACATTAAATGTATTGGCGACAATGCCACATTTAAATGTAAACGGGGTCACAATGAGCGGCAGTGAATATCGTGATACAACTGTGAAGAACTTGTGCTCAATGAAATGGCCAAATGAAGTGATGACACCCATTGCCGATATGTTCAAGTAAGTTCAGATTACTTTAAAAGGTCCATGCTTCCCCAAATTATAGTTTCATCTATTGGGGATATCCTATCACGATCCGAAAGAAGGCTATACTTGAACCCTTGACATAATTCAATTTGAAGGCCTGGTTGTGGGTCTTTTTTAAATTGTTACTATATGTACTATATGAGGCACTATATAGAAGAATGTCTTAAAACTCTGAACAAAGCCGGAATCTAAATACCGAATTATCGGTAAGAATATTCCAAAAATTATGTTGTTGTAATCAGGACCTCAAACGCTTCTAAATTATATCCATGCAACAAAATTTCTGGTTCTGTAATAGCCTAGACAGACGACAGCCTTAATTTGCATTAACAGCCTTAATTCAATTAACTTGTACATTATCCTTATTTTTATGTGTTGTTAATGCACAAAATCAAACTGAATTTATACTGAATTAGGCAATTTCAATATGGCAATGCTGTCGAAAATTAATTGTTTCTTGTCAAATTTATTTATATTTATGAAAATAAAAATAAGAATTGAAGGCAAATTTTAACCAGTTTTTAAATTGGAAGCTGTTTTGCTAAGATCATAGTTGCTATTCCTCCTTTATGTCATGTATCTATTTCCTAAAGATGTAATCCCGAAAAATATCGAAACAAATGTAAAAAATTTCATACTACACACAGACAAACAATTGTTTTGAAGCAAAAAACTGTTTCGTAAATGCAGAAACTCTCGTCTGTCAGGGGTAAATATTAATTCAAATTATGAACTTTTTAATGCAAATTAAGGCTGTCGTCTGTCTATGGTATAAATTTCTTTCCCAAAAATATAAATTAATTATATAAAAAACCAGCAGGCCCGGCAAACGTTGTCTTGCATAGCAATATTGTTGATGTACAATCCACATAATTATAGCCCACTATTAAGTTAGCTTTTTCTACCCTCCACGATTTGAGATAGATACCCTCACGATATTTTGAAGATCTTGGCCACGGTTTTCAACAGAATTGCTATTAATTTAACATAGGGTGCACTTTTTAAGCAGAAAATCTCTTTACTTAAAAATATCAATATTGGCCCTCAATTTTCGGTATTTGACTTTGATTTTGATTTTATGTTTTGAATGATCATTGAGTAGAAAATGTTCCCAACAAAATTTGCCCAAGCTTCCGAAAAGCCTCCATATAATGACACTCAACATTATACGATCCTTTGGGGATTTGTGCACGTTTTGGTAGCATTAATCCTACTAAAAATATTGATACACTCTTCTATTTTGGGGGGTTTGGTCACGTGTTTAAATCAAATTGGCTGTAATTCTATAATTTAGATGATCAGTGAGTACAAAATCTCTTTGCAAATCTCGGTCCACGTTTCCGGGTAGCACCCATATAATGGTTTGCGAAAATTATCTATTTAGGTCCAAGTTTTGATATAGCAATACATACAGGTTTCGCCCCATTTTCGGTATTATAAAGATATTGACCGAATTGTGTATAATTAGGCTTAACGGATTCCTGTGAATAAAAAGAAATTATGCAGAAATTGCGCACTATAACTAAACGTTTTAAAAAGACGCCATGACTATTTTTCCCGTTCAATTTTCGGTATATTGAATTTCTTACCACCGTTTTCCAACCTGAGTGTTGTCAGTAGTTGGCATGTTCAATACGAATAATTAACATCGGACGGAGGTTTTGGTATAACCTTCAAATTAGATACCATGGCTTGGCTATTTTTTCTATTATGGCTGATTTTTGGTTCGTTGTTCTCTTTCCAGCTGAGCTTAATGATAAATTTTAGCAAATAAAATATCTTGTATATTAGTTTTCTTTGTGATACACATTTTTGGTATCGGATATATGCGAGGTGTTCTGTTTGTGAGTTCAAATATATTGGAAAACGAAAAACATGTTCCTATTATTATTAAGAATCTAGGGTTTGGATCTTAAAATCCGAATACCCTGAATGGACACGAACTCGATTCAGAATGTCATTTGTCCCAAAATCGTGAATTCTATGGAAAACGTGTACATGCAATGATCGCTTGTACATTCAATGATATACTTTGTTGTATTCTCACATAAAATATTTTCAATATAATGTCAATCCAATAATTTTTTTTTTTTTTTTTGAAAATTTTCAATAATTTGCAAACCTTAAAGAATGATACACTTCTCGCCCAAAATATCTCAAAATAACAACTATGCAATCAAGATAGCTCGATACTAAAGTCGTGGAAATGCAGATATGCTTCATAATATTTGTTTGCAAATTTTTCGCGGTTTTCGATATTTTCTCATCTTTTAAAGCTTCCCTGGACCTCCACGAACATTTCAAGACTAAGATAAGATAAATCCGTTCAGCCGTTCTCGAGTTTTAGCGACCAATGTTTGGTCGTCCCCGTTTTGGCGTTTTTATTATTATTGATTTAAAAAATTGTTTCTTGCCTGCTTGATTTATCAAAACCAATATTTTGCATTTTTTTACTGCTAAACCTTCCGGTAAACAATGCGAATACAACACAAAAGAAATTATTAAATTCCGATGAACCGTTCTCTAGTTTTTAGCAGACAAGGCATATCATTTCATTTTTATATATATAAGAGATTAATCATCACGGCCGGGCTCGAAACTACGATTGTCTCCTACCCTTTCAATTTTTTAATCAATTTCCATTTTTTTAGGGAACTTCACCTAACACCCAGTGAAACACTTGTGGTTTTGAACAAATTTTCTGGTTGTCTACAATCGATGTCTCCCGATGCTTTACCGGCATTAAGCTTTCAATTATTCTCTATGTGCTCCACAGCATCACAAATAATCATACCCATTTTGGCACTGGAGAAATATTTCCATCGTTTTTATTATAAGAAGCTATTTGATGACATGAGTAGCAATTCCACTGATTTTGATAGTATTGGTGAGTAACAAAATCCACCCAAATTTTGTATTTTTTTCCAAGTAATATAAATTATTTCAGATGCATTTTCCGATCGAGAATTGCGTGAAGCAGAAGAAACTATATTGCATCATTTGAATTATTGTACCCAATACAAGATCAGTGAAATACAAATGTCCATTGTCCTAAGGGTGAGCAGGAACACATTGAAAACATTTTCATTAATTACATATTAATTCAAAATCATATCCCCCTCTTAGAATTTTCTAGCGATGCCGGATGTTATTCTAACACCATTTGTCCTAAGTGCCATATTGTCCATGTCCTCGGCAAATCGTGAACCTGATTCACGTCTTTCCGCCTCTGTATTGTTACCGTTTTTACGTAGTGTAATTCGCAATAATCATGAAGAGAATGTTTTATCTGAATATTCAGTGTGGTGTCGTGATAGCCTACAACGTAAAAATGTTGATTTGGAACAAATCTTTACAGTACTTATCGACCAGAATAAGGATGGTAAAGATACCATTACACCGGGCTTGGTGAATTTAGCCTTTGTTTTACTAAAAGCTAAAAACAGTCCACAACTAAATCAATTGGCAATTAATTTTCTTACGAAGTTTATACGAAAACGTTTTGTGTTCGGGCAAGGTATAATCAAACGTTTGGCCGAATGGATGGTTGTTGAACAGGATCAAAATCAATATTCCGGTAAGAGTATACTTTGCATGTGTTAAAGGAATATTAACATTTTTTTTCATATTTTTGCAGAATGTTTGAATGTTTTAAGTGTTGCCGATACCTTTACCGTTTCGGAATGTACAAAAACCATAAACCATGTTCTGGATTACTTTTTATGGGTAAGCACAAATTGTTTATTTTATTTGTATAATACAATTTGCATTGTTCTTTTGGCCCTTTGGGCTAGATTCTCGTTTATGAAATAAATTGAAATTGAAATTAATACAATTTGCATTGTTCAACTTTCATTTACAGTTACCAGGAGATCAAGCCTTGCGCATGATGTCTTTCATTTTACCAGTTTTAAAAATATCTGCCCTAGTTAGAGATGCTTTCATAGAAGTTCTACGTAAAGCGATGAGTTCAAGGTATAATAAAAAGCATAACATTTAGAATAATATTTAAAACTCCATCATAATTATATAAGGCGGTCGTCCCTCTGAGGTTCAGAGGTGACCACTTTTTGCATTATCAATTGGAAAATAATCCCAAACCTTTAACTGAATTTTATATTTTAAACATTTTTTTAGTGAAATGAAAACTCGTCGCATGGCGGTTTATGGCTTTTGCATGATTTTAAAACAGCTCAACAATAGTAACTCACAACGTTCCCAGATGAATGTTTCCGGTATGTGTACACAGCATAGTATTTCGGGTTTCTCGCTAATGTCTCAGCTGGGCAATCGTAATAATCCACAAAGACATTTTGATATGCTCACATTGGAAATTATTGGAGTATTAAGAAATTGTTTTACCCAAACATTGGATATCAAATTATGTTTATATGAAAGTAATATACACAAAAATATGAAAATCAAACAATATAATTAACTATCTCACCAATTACAGACCTACAACGTGCTGTAGAATTAAACCCAAAGCTTGTTCCACATGTGCTACAATTTATCGATTGGCATTTTCGTTCATTTTTCAATGCACCCCTCGAAGAAGATGAAGATAATCAATTTGCGGTGAAATTTGAAAAGATTGTCTCATCGAAGGATTTACAGGAAAATGAAATTGAAATTCATGATAATTTGGGAAAACTGTTAATATTTGTTAGTCATTGTTTGGTAATATTTGAAAAATTCGAAACCGAATATGATACGCGAGAAATAAAACGTCTCATAAAGCTATCGCTGGAGAAGGTAATTGGAAAACACATTAAATTTGAAGATATGGTAAGTGGTATATAAATAAAAAAATATTCCTGAATATTATACTCAATATAAATTATTGTTGATTTCAGAATGGTTCTCTAACACATCTTAAAAATGAATTAATATTGCAACAATTAAATTTCATAGAAGGTTTAATGGCATACAGCCTACTCACATCCAAACAAAACAATGAAAATATTAAAAATCTCCTGCCATTATTTAAACAACATGAGCATTTGACTGAGGGTCTTAAGGTGACTTAAATATAAAGAAAATTTAAATAAAATTAGAAAAATAATTTTATATATTTTATAGACCCTATCCCATAAAAAAGGTCCCAAGAAAATTAAAACCGCCAATGATAATGAGATATCAAATGTAACCATTAACGGGGTAGCAGTCAAAAAAATCCAATCACAACCGGAAAATATATGGGATTTAAGTATTATTGAGAAATTGTTACGTTTGTTGCACGAGTAAGTTTTCAATATATTTTCAATAAATTTCAGTACCTAATACATCCCTATTTGTACTTTAAGAGATATTGTGCCATTTGCTGCAAGACAAAATACCACATCCTTGCGCTCTCATGTCGCCTTGGTACGTTATGTTTTAGAAGTGGCCGCTTCAAAAGTTGCCCAAATACGCTCCGAACCAGAATACAAACAATTGGCACACAGTAAACGTACGCTACGATATGTTACCGATATTACAAAAGTTGTCTATGAACGTTGTGTAAAACGTTTACCAGATTTATGGCGTAATTTTGATATGGAAACTGCCTCCCTGGCTATGGAATGTTTCCGTCAATGTTTACAAACAGCCAATGAAGTTTATAAATCGAAATTTGAATCGATTTTTGTTAAAGGATTCGATTTCCATACAATTAATAAGAGTAAAGATGTAATTTCCATACTCCAAGATGTAATGGATGAATTTATGAAAGAAGAACATTCCGAAGAAACAGATCCAAATGAATCGTTATTGAGCGATACAAATGGTCGTAAAATTCCCAATAATATATTCTTAAGTTTGGAAGTTTTATACGATAATATATCGTTTGGTAGTCGTTTGACTATTGAATCATATAATTGGTTACTGAAATTTTGCAAAACTTTTGAAATTAAAACCAAGGAGTTGGGAATTGTCCACAAGCTGTTGTTTAAACAGAGACAGAAAACGCATTCCGGAGCATTTTTTCAAGTTATACCCGAACATTTGGGAAAAATTTGGTCATATGTTAAGGATGATGAGGAACCTGAAGTGGTAAGTAAATTGATTTAAATTTGGGATTAAAGGAAAGTGGTGCAGAGCCGAGGTATTGTAGGAGGAGTAGAGGTCAGTGTCAGACAGAGATCTGCATGATATAGATCCATAGGTACAAGGGACTATTGGCAAGTAGAACAATACAATATGAATATTATCCCAGCTAAGCCTACTCACCTGCAACCAACTTGTAACCTTCCGGAATTGTGATACAAAGGAGTCAAACGAGACAATGGATAACAATGTCCTAGTTTGTATTTCAGTTGCATGATATCAGTTCCCGAAACTATCGGCTTCGTCTCCCTTACTTTATCCTAAATCTGCGCATATTTGCATTTATTACAACAAAACAAATTTATTAAAAAATAAAATAAATATTCTAAAGTAAAAAAACTTCTTTTCGTTACAGGATCCCGGAACACAAACAAATTTTCTCCTTAAATCAATTACCGATGTCACAGCTGAATCGTGTTTGCAGCATCTATACGATTTATTGCGGAAACAAATTGAAGATGTTGAATATTTCATTATTAAGGCTAATAATTTGGCCTACAAATGTCGTATTGTACCCGAAGATGATCGTGATTTTTGTTTGGCTTCTCTCAAATCTCTTGAGAGATCAATATCCATGCAATTGGTACATATATCAAATACTCTACGAAATTTAACAAATGTCTGCATACCATTGGGCAGTTCCATGGATGGTTTGATGAAACTTATAATGCAACATTATATATGCTTGAAAAATCTAACCAAACATTTTCTATCATGTTCATCGGGTGGTATGAAGGTGTCCATACAGGGAACAAAGTAGGTAACCTCCCATTCTCCAATATAATATTTAAGTAATATTTGAATTTGTTTCTATTTAACAGATTTGATTCCTTGCTTCGCGTGGTGGGCAAACCATTACCATCAAATATTTATGCCTTAATCACATACATTGAAAGCAATATTTTGGAAGATAAGGCGAAAAAGAAATCCAATCCGCAAGCCGACAAGGCCAAAGTACTAAGGGAAACTAAATTTATACCCAAAATTATTTTATGCATTGAGAATTTCAATAAACATGTTATACTATTGGCCAAGAAGACCAACGATCGTTTGGCCAATTATTTACATTTCGGTACCGTGAGAGATTTTCGTATAAAAACCTCCGATTTAAAAGCAGCCATTGATCGAACATTATCACATAGCAGTCAGATTGAGGTATCTGAAAGTGCTGAAGAAGATAATGAGGGTGAGGTTCCAGAATATGAAATTGAAGATAATAACGAAACAATACTCAAGGAATTAGAAGATGATGCTATTGCCTCACAAATAGAAGCAGAAAAAGAAAATATTTCGAGCAAAGACAATGAAGAAGACGAAGAGCAGTCTGACACATCATCAAGGCGTAGCAGAAGTTCAACACCATCTAACGTAAACGCTAAAGCGAAAAAATCTCAAAAGAAATCCGATACAAAAACACAAAAGAAATTTCAAGAAAAGGAAAAGTCAAAGCCACAAAAGAAAACTGAAGAAAAGGAAAAACCACAAAAGAAATCCGAAATCAAGGTAGTGGCGCAAAAGAAAGCTCCGACATCAAAGAAAACTAAAGCTTCACAAAAAGAAAAACCAAAACCTATGGAGATCGATGATGACGATGGAAATAATGGTGACGTGACAATTATAACACCGGATGATGCTGAAACACTTGAACATGAAAGTGATCGAGATTCTTGCACTCAATTAATGAAGAATTTGGCGAAGATTAATGCTAAATCAGCCAAAAAGCGTTCACTGCGTGATTCAGAACAACAAGAAGATCCTGATGTTTTATGTGCACCACCCCTTGAGCCGGTATCGAAAAAATCTAAACGTGGTCGAAAACCGGGAAAATGATGCAAATTTATCAATATTTCTTCCATGTATCCATTTGTTATTTTTAAATTGTCTTATTTATATTTTTTATTGTACGTTGTGAATTTTTAAACGATTAATCAAAAAAAAAAAAAAAAATAAATAAATAAAAAAAATAATATAATGGTTTTATTATTTGTGGCATTTATAAACTATTTCAAAATAAGAAAATGATATACATAGATCATTGATCGGTGGATTAATCGTCTGCTTGACAACGTGATGTCGTGAGAGCTTATCTACATACATGGATAGCATCGAATTTATAGTCTACTTTTATAAGGAAGTCCATATGAGTTGTTGATAGGTGTTCCTACACGTTGAGTCTTTGTTTATATGTAATAACAATAAATAACATACGGAATCCATGCAACTGGAAAACTGGTTCTCGGCGATGGGAGGAGTAGCGTTTCAAGTGTATTGCTGCAGGAGTGAAATCGGCATGTACGATTCACATTTGATGGCATCCTTGTCAGGCTTTAGTAGCAAGACCACCCTGCCCTTCTCTGTATTGCGATGCGAAAGCTAAATGCGTTGAGCGTACAATTTGGTACTCTGTATCGCTCACGCAAACGCATTCGCAAAATAAATCGAAAAATAGGGCAACCTGGCACCACAAAGTAAACAATAACGAAGAATGACAAAAGGAAACGCAAAAAATTAAAAAAAAAAACACAATATAATTATCTGATCGTCACCGAAAATTTTAGGCGTTATCATTGACCATAACTGGAACTTCATGGGACATTTTAAAGCGATCAGCGCTATATTTCCGCCCTCTAGTGTGGTAACCCGTTACCTATAATAAATAATATCTGAATACATAAGCACCTGTAAATGTTTAAAGATAGTAGAGCATATTATTAAAAATGCTATTTTGAAGTTTCTAGATGATCATAAATGCCTGAGTAGTTCTCAGTATGGTTTTCGGCTTGGTTGTAGTACAACGTTGCACTTATTATCCCTTACTGATGTTATTCGCGATGTTTTTGATGGTCTGATGTTGGTCTTGATTTGTCTAAGGCCTTTGATTCTATTGACCACGCGCAGCTTATTCGCAAGCTTAGAGTCAAATTTGGGTTTTCCGTTTTGGCCTGTAGACTAATTTTGTCGTTTGTTGTGCACAAGGGTGTCCAATCTGATATTGGTCTAATCCGGTGTGGAGTCCCGCAGGGTTCTGTGCTGGACCCATTATTTTTTAATATGTTCATTAATGACATCACGTATTCTGTTACTGCTAGTAGTTGTAGTCTCTTCTTGTATGCGGATGACATACATGTTTTCTTTAGGAGTGTTGATCTCGCCAGGTTGGAAAATCTGGATAACACAACGTTGCAATCTCTCTATGTGGATCTCCTCCAATGGTCTTGATATACATTGGAATAAGACTGAAGCTGTTTTGTTCAATTGTTGCTATGACCGTTCTATGCCTAATATTTGCGTTAGTTCCTTTACTATTAATATTGTTGATGAAATGAAGTGCTTGGGTGTAATTATTGATTCCAAACTTAGTTTTCCGACTCACATTGATCTTCTGTTGTCCCGTGTTCTGTTTGGAGGTAATTTCGGGCTCTAATTCTGGTAATTTGCATCGGCTTCAAAAGGTTTTTAACTCCATTGTTCGCTATGTATATGGTTTGGGTCGTAGTCATCATGTTTTCCAATTTGTTGTTAAAGTTCTTGGCCTATCCTTTGATAAGTATGTTGAATATCCTATCCTTTTGTGTTATTATAGAATTATGAGAAATGTTGATTTACCACTGTGTAGTAGGTTTGTGAGGTGTAGATCCTCTCGGAACCCTCAGTTGTTGTATCCGAGGTTCTCGTCTGTAATTTGTGAAAGATTATTTGTAGTTAGAGTCGTAAGATTGTGGAATCAGCTCCCTTTGAGCCTTCGTAAGTTTACATCTTCCACTTTTGCGTATAGGAGGGACTTGTTTGTGCATTTGTTTCGTGTTTGATGAAGTTGGCTTTGAAGAAATCGCTTATTACAGGTTGTATAGTGTTACTTTCTCTGAAACCAGGCCAATCAGCTTTCCCATGGTTCAGGAAAGTATTGCAAAGGTAATAAAGATTTTCAGATTCGGTGCCACTATGGTGAAGTCTGGCGAACTTTGCCAATCTCCTCTTATCCTCGTAATGCATCCTCTTTAACCGTGCAAAATTTCGAGCTATTAATTTACTCAGCCAGTGCTGTCTGCCTCTGGATATTACCTAGGACGAAATCTCATAACTCATGGTGGTCTGTACTGGAATAAGTATTCCGGGATATAATGCCGCTCAGAGTTTGTTTTGACATTGTCTGCATTGTCCAACCGAAGGAGGTGAAATTTGTCGTTCCTGGATCTTTGTTGCGAGAGATCCATCGACACCAACCTCCATCACCCCAACGAATTTCCCCCTGTTGACACCTAAAAGGAACATGATCATCTTGATCTATTTTGGCATTAGCGTAGAATGCGGGTTAGAGAAACATTATGGAATCAATGAGTTCCATTAATTATCAAGAAAGACCTGAAATTAATATTAATTAAATAAAAGAATCAATTCCCGCATTTACCCGTCTATTGTGAATGGCCAACTTCTCTGCATGTGAAGGGAGAATGAAGATAAAGGAGTTAATGGGGTCCGCCTAAACAAAGGTGGGAAGAAGTGGTTGGGTGGGTTGAGTGCCACACCACCAAGGTACTGTGCAATAGACCAATAGTAGAAAATATACCAAATAGGTAGTCAGATGTAAATGTCTTGCTGATATTACAGCCAGATCTTTACATATATAGAGTCTGTTTAGTTAGTTCTAGGTATATTAAGGCTAGTTTTAAATCAAGGGTCAAAGTGCAATCTGTAGTTGTATATGTATAACTATGAATGTTTGTATTAGACCTGTGCATGTTTTTAAGTTTTTAATATATATCTCAATCCGTGTCTTTGTAGGCAGAAAAAATTGTTTCCGTTACGGAATATAGATTGCCATAAGACAGTGTGTCAAACAGCCGAAACTATAAGACCTTCATTTAACTAAGTAGGTAAAGTGTATGCTATAGTTCTCAGTCTTGGATGAGATATACAATTTATCGATGTATTATTTGTTTGATTTAAAATTCTAGGGGATATATTAACTAGAAAATAATAATAATAATAGTGGCATTAATATTAATATAGGATATTTATACTTAAAACTATTTTCACAATTTATCTTATTAGTTAAATATTATTTTCCAAATCTAACGATAAGATCTGTAAAAATATTGTGTCTAGGGAACGAATACTCGGTCCAAAACAGCAAACAAAATAAATTGGCCACAAAATTTTGATAATACTCCGGATCAACATAAAATAATACCAAAAAAGAATGAGATGGCTGAATTAGGAACAGGCACAGTACAAAATACTGGACAAGTTATGGACTTATCTGCTACGATAATAAATCGGCTGGTTCAGGGAAACATGGTACCAAACGGTACCAGTTGATAGCGAAAGTAAAGTTGACAATTTTCTTACTTCGGGAACTAGTGCTGTTCAGAGTTTAACTTTGAATACAAATATACTTCCTCGAACAGTCAGTTTTGAAGATCGTCCTAAAAATACAAATATTCCTCAAACTGAATATCCAACAGCTTCCAATGCCATCAGAGATCAGGTGACATCCGGAGGTTCGTAATCCAGTGGATATTATGGTCCACCCTCTAATTCGAGAGAACAGCTGCGCATAATCGTCGAAGAGTTCATATTCCGCTTAGAACGTCTTCAGGAACAGTATGACATTCCTTGGGATGAAAAATGAAGGGATTTTCGATTACTTATTTCAGGACCAGTTTTTGAGTGGTTTTGCAATCACAAAAGAGGAGAAAATTCACTCAATGGATACGTCTAAAAGATGCTCTGTTGTCCCAATATCGTGACACTATATCACCGTTGGAATCCATGAGAGATCTGGTGGGAAGGAAGCAGATGAGTAATGAGCCCATTGACTCATATTTTCATACATTGTGCCAGCTCCGATCTGGTTTGCAGCATCCAATCACTGATGATGATATGATTAAAATTATAAAATAATGTGAGGGATAATATTAAAATGGTTATTTACCCCATGAGCATCGCCACCGTTGAACTACTGCGAGTCGAATGTAAAGATGCAGAAATGAATTTTCCAATAAAGCATCCAAGGCCAATGGCATCCCATGCACGACCTGATAGGCAAATTAATGAAGTCGCTTATTAGGACTATGAGTACGAAGAGTCGAATCCACCGATGGAGGTGGCGGACAATATTTCTGCATTACGGATGCAGCAACATAAAAAACCACCATATGCTGGAATTATCTGTAGCAGGACACTTGTTTGTCGATTGTCCATCCACGGAAAGAGCGTTATTTTGCTGTAGGTGTTGAAAACAAAACACCATAATTTCCAAATGTACCAGTTGCAAATGGAGTGACACGTCCGGCGGAGAACCCCACACAGTGAATCCAAAAAGTACCTGAAATGGAAAATAAGAAAGAAAATCGAAATCAGATTATGGACAGGAAATCATGGGCTAATCAAAGACATTATATTCCGGTAGAAAAACGAAAAGAACATTTTAACATCGTTTAACCTCGCCCCAGAAATCTTCGGATTAGAAGAAATAAATATAGAAAATGTCTTAGATGAATATAAATATACAAGGATGGAACATCGTTTGAAACCTCATGAACTGACTTCGGAACAAACAACCATACTGCAATAGAAAAGCATGTAATAAAGTTAGTTGAGGGTGCAGAACCATTTAAGGACAGGCATTATCCTATGTCCCCTGCGTTACAACAGATCACCTATGAGGAAATCGATAAAATGCTCGAATTGAAAGGGAGTGTCCGTTGTGTAACCGTACAATTTTGTAGTAGATGGAATATTAAGTGACACATATAATAGTAATGTATATCTCAAGTTTGCCTTCTGGCAAATTGAGTTGGACCAAGATAGCAAAAAATACAGTGCCTTCAAAGTGCTCGGACGACCTCTATAACAGTTCTGTGTGATGCCTCTTGGCCTATGCAACGCGGCACAAGGCTTGTGTCGTCTCATGGATAGGTCGTTTCGAGCAGACTGAAGAAAACGTGAAAGCCATCCTAAAGATAGTCACACTGAAGAATGTGCGGGAAGTTAGGAGTTTTTTAGGCACAGCGGGAAGGTATCGCCGCTTTATAAAGATTTTTGCCACGATATCTGCTTCATTAACTGATACTCTGAAGAAATCAAAAACGTTTACAATGACTCCAGAAGCTATAGAATCTTTCGAGACCCTGAAAATTTCATTAACTAAGGCACCTGTGTTACCTCACACAGATTTTCGCAAACCATTCTTTATATAGTGCGACGCTTCGGAGTACGGAATAGGGTGTGTTATTTCAATTGAATGACGAGGAGACAAACAGCTGAATTCCCGACCCAAAAATTACATTGTGGCAGAGAAGGAATGTATGGCGGCTGTTATGGCAGTGAGGAAATTTCGCACTTATGTGGAATTAATTGATTTTACTGTCATAACAGACTACACCAGCCTTCAATAGCTTATGAATTTAAATGATTTGAGTGGTCGTCTCGCCTGATGATCGTCACAATTGCAAGCATACCGCTTCAAAATAGTACACCGCGAAGGGAAGGATAACGTAGTGGCAGATACCCTTTCTCGTCTTCCCCGAATAGAAGAGATCAATGACGAGTATGATTTTGGTGTAGATAGTGAAGATTTATATTCCGAAGAATACCAGAAGACATCCAAGATCGAATACCTGATCTGAAAATAAAGGATATATTAATTTTTAAATGCATGAGACAAAAAATTGCGAGATACGAATGAAGACTGTGGTTCCCAGAACAATTAACACATATTCTTATTAAAATGGCTCATGATTCTCCAATATCCGCTCATGGCGGAGTGCATAAGACGTTGAATCGGCTAAAGCAACAATATTATTGGCCGAATATGACTTCGCAAGTTAGACAGTATATAGGAAATTGCATAGTATGCAAAGAAACAAAAATCGTTAATTATAAGACGCAACCAATCATAGGCGAGGAAGTAAAAACTAAAAGGCAATTCCAAAAAAAAAAAATTATATAGACTTTTTGGGGAAATACCCGAGCTCAAAAAGTAGAAATGAATTTATGTATGTATATATATATCTTCATGGAACATTTTTCAAAGTTTATATGCCTAAAATCAATGCGAGAAGCCACCGACAGCAATGTTGTCAAATTTCTAGTCGAAACGGGTTTCGAACTTTTGGAGTACCTGAAACAGTCCATAGTGACAACGGGACACAATTTAATTCGATACAGTTCAAAGACATGATAAAAATCTACAAAATTAACCATCTGCAAACTGCTCCGTATTCACCACAATAGAACGCCTCAGAACGGGTTAACCAATCCATTCTGGCGGCTCTTACAGCATACCTTGAGAGCGAGATTGGGATCTCTATTTGTCAGAAATTGATGTGCATTACAAACCTCGGTACATGTGGCGACAGGAATTTCACATTTCTTAGCCCTTTTTGGCTACCACATGTTCACTAAAAATGAAATCCTCATCTTGGACAGGAAGGATCGTTTTTTGCTCATAAGAGAAAACATATATATAGAATGAAAAACGTTATATTAAAAGAGCAAGATTGACAACATTTATACCAGGACAGGAAGTCTTTCAGAAGAATTTCAATGCGAAAATTGCTAGGAAATTCCGAAAATGTAGGATAGTCAAGTTGACTATCCTGTTGACACCTTAAAGGCACATGCTCATCTTGATCTATTTCGGCATTAGCGTAGAATGCGGGCTAGGGAAACATTATGGAATCAATGCGTTTCATTTATTATCAAGAATTACCTGAAGTTAATATTAATTAAATAAAATAATCAATTCAATTAAATATCTCAACACACTTACCCGTCTATTGTGAATTCTTCCAGAATCCTAGAATTCACCTACAATGTTCATCGTATAATTTTTGTTGCCTTGTGTAATTGTTTGTCTTTTGATAGTCATAAAAGAAGATTTATTGAAAACATGTTAGACCAATCATTGGTTTGGCAGTTGAGAACCTCCCTGAGTTCCGCAGAGCTGTCGGAAGGCCAAACTGATGGAGGGTAGAAACTACTTTTTCTTTTGTTTCAACTAACGACTAGATTATTCAAGAACTGAAGAAAAAATTTCATGATCCCAGATACATTTTTTTTGATGTTGTTTTAGGATCAACTTATACATGCATTCACCTCACCATGAACACATAGTCAGGAGGAGGGGTGGTTGTAATCAACAAAATGAAGAAAATATGATGAAGACAAACAACCATTTAATACATATTGAAATTCTAATGAAGTATGGACGAACTGTAAAAGATGTAGGCCGGCTAGATTCCATTCGGGTAGATTTTGCCTCAAAAATCAACGCAACGGTAAATTGCAATTGCCTCCAAATAAAAGTTTGGTCGTTTGCTGTGTTTTTGAGAGAGCAACGTTTAAATTTTATTGCCACAAAACCTAATTAGAAAAGTATCATCATCATTGCCGCCGCCGTCAAGAGTAACAACAACATCTACATCACAAATCTTTTGGTTTTTTGATGTAAGTTGTTCTTCAAAACATGTTTTTCTGTTTCTGAATATGTCTTGCTGATATTGCAGCCAGGTCTTTACATATATAGAGTCTGTTTAGTTCTAGGTATATTAAGGCTAGTTTTAAATCAAGGGTCAAAGTGCAATCTGTAGTTGTATATGTATAACTATGAATGTTTGTATTCGACCTGTGCATGTTTTTAAGTTTTTAATATATATCTCAATCCGTGTCTTTGTAGGCAGAAAAAAATATATCCGTTACGGAATATAGATTGCCATAAGACAGTGTGTCAAACAACCGAAACTATAAGACCTTCATTTAACTAAGTAGGTAAAGTGTATGCTATAGATCTCAGTCTTGGATGAGATATACAATTTATCGATGTATTATTTGTTTGATTTAAAATTCTAGGGGATATATTAACTAGAAAATAATAATAATAGTGACATTAATATTAATATAGGATATTTATACTTAAAACTATTTTCACAATTTAACTTATTAGTTAAATATTATTTTCCAAATCGAACGATAAGATCTGTAAAAATATTGTGTCTAGGGAACGAATACTCGGTCCAAAACAGCAAACAAAATAAATTGGCCACAAAATTTTGATAATACTCCGGATCAACATAAAATCATACCAAAAAAGAATGAGATGGCTGAATTAGGAACATGCACAGTACAAAATACCGGACAATTTATGGACTTATCTGCTACGATAATAAATCGGCTGGTTCAGGGAAACATGGTACCAAACGGTACCAGTTGATAGCGAAAGTAAAGTTGACAATTTTCTTACTTCGGGAACTAGTGCTGTTCAAAGTTTAACTTTGAATACAAATATACTTCCTCGAACAGTCAGTTTTGAAGATCGTCCTAAAAATACAAATATTCCTCAAACTGAATATCCAACAGCTTCCAATGCCATCAGAGATCAGGTGACATCCGGAGGTTCGTAATCCAGTGGATATTATGGTCCACCCTCTAATTCGAGAGAACAGCTGCGCTAAGAGTCGATAAATTCGGCATCAATTTTGATGGGAATCCCCTAAAACTAACCGTCGAAGAGTTCACATTCCGCTTAGAACGTCTTCAGGAACAGTATGACATTCCTTGGGATGAAAAATTAAGGGATTTTCGATTACTTATTTCAGGACCAGTTTTTGAGTGGTTTTGGCAATCACAAAAGAGGAGAAAATTCACTCAATGGATACGTCTAAAAGATGCTCTGTTGTCCCAATATCGTGACACTATATCACCGTTTGAATCCATGAGAGATATGGTCGAAAGGAAGCAGATGAGTAATGAGCCCATTGACTCATATTTTCATACATTGTACCAGCTCCGATCTGGTTTGCAGCATCCAATCACTGATGATATGATTAAAATTATAAAATAATGTGAGGGATAATATTAAAATGGTTATTTACCCCATGAGCATCGCCACCGTTGAACTACTGCGCGTCGAATGTAAACATGCAGAAATGAATTTTCCAATAAAGCATCCAAAGCCAATGGCATCCCATCCACGACCTGATAGGCAAATTAATGAAGTCGCTTATTAGGACTATGAGTATGAAGAGTCGAATCCACAGATGGAGGTGGCGGACAATATTTCTGCATTACGGATGCAGCTACATGAAAAACTACCATATGCTGGAATTATCTGTAGCAGGACACTGTTATTGCTGCACTGGAACGTAAGTACGGTGGCGAACATAAACAAAACATCTACCTTATGGAATTAAGGGGAAGAGTACAGAGGGCAAACGAGACGTTACAAGACTTTGCAGCTGAGGTGGAACGTTTGGTGTTAATGACGTATCCAGGAGAGAATCACCCATTGCTGGACCGTATGAAAATCGAAACCTTTGTGAATGGCATACGTGACCCTGAGATTAAATGTGCAACATATGCGTCACCAAAAGCGTCATTTGCCGAAACCGTTTCGTTTGCTCTTGCCCAAGAGACGGCAAGAATAATTGTTAAGCCCCAGACCCACAAGATTCGTCAACTGGAGACCGAATGTTGCCAACCCAAAGCCCTCGTTAACTCGATCAAGGACGCCATGAGGCAGGTAATAGAAGAAACAAAGTCAGTAGGGATGACTAAGCCCAGGATTAGATGCTTCAACTGCGATAAAGCAGGTCATATTGCGCGTGAACGCAGAGCTAAGCGCAAACGATCCAGGTCATTGTCACCACCTCCAACGAAAGATGGTAGAAGAATGGCTCAACAGTCCACCAAGGAGTCACCGTTAAACTAAATCGAGCCAGTCCAGCGGGGCATGAACTGGCTCCCATCGACGATGGCCCCACAATCTCCATAGCAATAGTACAACAGAAAAGTCACAACCTAACAACAACTGGGTACATCAATGGTGACAAGCGAGTTCTGACGTTAGATACTGGCGCATCAAAGTCCATCATAAGATCGGATCTGGTAAAGGGAAAAATAACGCAACTTAATGGAGTCAGACTGCGCACAGCAACGGGGGAGCCCGCGGCAGTACACGGCAAGATTACCCTGAGACTAACTATTGCCAATAAATCGGAGAATTACGAGTTTATTGTTGCCGATATCGTAGACGAAGTGATAATAGGCGCAGATTTTATGATTGCCTTTGGTATCAATCTGGATATGAAAGAGCGTGTGATGACCTGGTCTAACGTCGAAATTCCGTTAAACGTGGGCTACGATGAAAGTACACCCATTAGACGACTGACTACGGACCATCCAGAGATAATACCGCCCTGTGCCGAAGCAATAATATGGGTACCAATGAATGGAGATTGTGGAGCCGAGAAGTTGTGGGTGGTGGAACCAACAGAAAACATAAACAGTAACATCCGAATAGCGAATGTCCTGGTGAAAAGCAACAAGGACGGTTTGATTCCTGTTAGAGTTTTGAACCTGTCAAACAAGCAAGAGCAAATTTGCCAATTTTCCGATGTTGGACAATGCACACCAGCTGAAGCTGTAATTAATTTGGAAACTAGCACCGAAAAGCCAGCAGCCATGGAGAAGAAGTACCTCGACGGCTACATAAAAGAGTGGACACACCAATTATCACCTTCCGAGAGTAACAAGGCTAAGCAGCTATTATGGAAATATGCCTCTACCTTTGCGTTGACAAAAGAGCACCAGGGAAGAACATCAGTGGTGAAGCATGAAATCCATACAGCAGACGCGAGACCCATTAAACAGCCTTCAAAAAGTGTTCCCCTGGCGAAAAGAGACGAGGTCCAGAAGCTGATAAGTGAAATGGAAAAGAGTGGTGTAATAGAACCATCGTCAAGTCCATGGGGCTCCCCAGTGGTATTGGTCAAGAAGAAAGACGGAAGCACCCGATTTTGTGTGGACTACCGAAAGTTGAATGATGTCACCAAGAAAGACAGCTATCCGCTCCAAAGAATCGACGACACATTGGACACATTAGCCGGGACGTCATGGTTCTCTACCCTCGACCGAACACATCAAGAACTTAAAGGATGTTCTACAGCAGCTTTCGTCTTCAGGTCTCATGCTGAACCCAAAGAAGTGCAGTCTCTTCCAACGAGAGGTGAAGTTCCTGGGGCACCACGTAACGCCGGAGGGCATATCGACGGATAAGGAGAAAATTCAAGCCGTCAGAGATTGGCCGCAGTCCCGAAATCTCCATGAGCTACGAAGCTTTCTGGGTCTCTGCACATACTACCGTCGATTTGTCCAAAATTTTGCCAACATCGCCGCCTGTCTACACCGCTTGACGCAAAAAGGCCAGAAGTTTCAGTGGGGCAACGACCAGGAGGAGGCATTCAGAAAGCTCAAAGACATGCTATGCAGAGCCCCCATTTTGACATACCCTATACCTGGCCGCAAGTTTGTTCTGGACACAGACGCAAGTGCGTGCGGCATCGGTGGCGTCCTTTCCCAGGAAATCGACGGACAGGAAAAAGTCATCGGGTACTACAGACATTGTCGAAACCTGAGAGGAATTACTGTGCGACGAGGAGAGAGCTGCTTGCTGTCCTTGAGTGCGTTAAACACTTCCACAAATACCTATATGGCCAGCATTTCCTGCTGAGGACCGACCACGCTGCTCTCCAATGGTTGCTGCAGTTTAAGAATCCGGAAAGAGCGTTATTTTGCTGTAGGTGTTGAAAACAAAACACCATAATTTCCAAATGTACCAGTTGCAAATGGAGTGACACGTCCGGCGGATAACCCCACACAGTGAATCCAAAAAGTACCTAAAATGGAAAATAAGAAAGAAAATCGAAATCAGATTATGGACAGGAAACATGGGCTAATCAAAGACATTATATTCCGGTAGAAAAACGAAAAGAACATTATAACATCGTTTAACCTCGCCCCAGAAATCTTCGGATTAGAAGAAATAAATATAGAAAATGTCTTAGATGAATATTAATATACAGGGATGGAACATCGTTTGAAACCTCATGAACTGACTCCGGAACAAACAAGCATAGTCATACCGAAGAATGTGCGGGAAGTTAGGAGTTTTTTAGGCACAGCCCCAGTAACTGACACTCTGAAGAAATCAAAAACGTTTACAATGACTCCAGAAGCTGTAGAATCTTTCGAGACCCTAAAAATGTCATTAACTAAGGCACCTGTGTTTCCTCATGCTGATTTTTGCAAACCATTCTTTATATAGTGCGACACTTCGGAGAACGGAATAGGGAGTGTTATTTCAATTGAATGACGAGGAGACAAACAGCTGAATTCCCGACCCAAAAATTACATTGTGACAGAGAAGGAATGTCTGGCGGCTGTTATGGCAGTGAATAAATTTCGCACTTATGTGGAATTAATTGATTTTACTGTCATAACAGACCACACCAGCCTTCAATGGCTTATGAATTTAAATGATTTGAGTGGTCGTCTCGCCTGATGGTCGTTACAATTGCAAGCATACCGCTTCAAAATAGTACACCGCGAAGGGAAGGACAACGTAGTGGCAGATACCCTTTCTCGTCTTCCCCGAACAGAAGAGATCAATGACGAGTATGATTTTGGTATAGATAGTGAAGATTTCAATTCCAACGAATACCAGGAATTTATGAAGAACATAGAAGACATCCAAGATTGAATACCAGATCTGAAAATGAAGGATATATTAATTTTAAACGCATGAGACAAGAAATTGCGAGATACGAATGGAGACTGTGGTTCCCAGAACAATTAACACATATTCTTATTAAAATGGCTCATGATTCTCCAATATCCGCTCATGGCGGAGTGCATAAAACGTTGAATCGGCTAAAGCAACAATATTATTGGCCGAATATGACCTCGCAAGTTAGACAGCATATAGAAAATTGCATAGTATGCAAAGAAACAAAAAGCGTTAATTATAACACGCAACCAATCATAGGCAATACAAAAAAAAAAAATTATATAGACTTTTTGGGGAAATACCCGCGCTCAAAAAGTAGAAATGACTTTATGTATATATATATATATAAAGTCATTTCTACATTTTAACCATCTGCAAACTACTCCGTATTCACCACAATCGAACGCCTCAGAACGGGCTAACCAATACATATGGAGACAGGAATTTCACCTTTCTTAGCCCTTTTTGGCTACCACATGTTCACTAAAGGTGCGGACTATAAACTAGCAAAAAAATTAAAGTCTCTAACAGAACATGAAATTCTCATCTTGGACAGGAGGGATCGTTTGTTGCTCATAAGAGAAAACATTTAATTAAATGAAAAACGTTTTATTAAAAGAGCAAGATTGACAAGATTTATACCAGGACAGCGACTTTCAGAAGAATTTCCATGCGAAAATTGCAAGGAAATTCCGAAAATGTAGGATAGTCAAGTTGATAGGGAATAATATGTATGGACTTGACGACCTTCAGGGTAGACCCCCTTTTGGCACCTTAATGGCACATGCTCATCTTGATCTATTTCGGCATTAGCGTAGAATGCGGGTTAGGGAACCATTATGGAATCAATGCGTTTCATTTATTATCAAGATTGACCTGAAAGTAATATTAATTAAATAAAAGAATCAATTCAATTAAATATCTCAACACACTTACCCGCCTATTGTGAATGGCCAACTTAACGAAAAATGGTAGGGATGATCATGTAAAGGGAGGATGAAGTTAATGGGGTCAGCCTAAACAAAGATGGGAAGAAGTGGGCCAAGGTTGGGTGGGCGTTCTGAACACCAAGGAACCCTAGAATCCACCTACAATGTTAATCGTATAATTTTTGTTGACTTGTGTAATTGTTTGTTTTTTGTTAGTCCTAAAAGAACATGATGTTAGACCAATCATTGGTTTGGCGGTTGAGAACCTCCCTGAGTTCCGCAGAGCTGTCGGAAGGTCGAACTGATGGAGGGTAGAAACTACTTTTTCTTTTGTTTCAACTAACGACTAGATTATTCAAGAAGTGAAGTAAGACTTTCATGATCCCAGATAAATTTTTTTATGTTGTTTTAGGATCAAC